AAGCTACTATTCATATACTTGAGCTCCCCTTGTATTGTTTTGCAGTATTGTTCTACTACTTAGTTTATCTCTTCTAGTTCTTCTTTTTTTCTTGCTTGTTACATTTTTATATACATGATCTTCTACTAAGTCTTAAGATCTTCAAGTCTTCTTTTAGACTATACCTTTTCTGAGAGTTCTTCTATTTTAGTTTTATATTCTTTATTTAAATATTTTATCTATAAATTGATGTTAGTTCTATTTGTTTCACTGATTTGTTAACTAATTCCTACTACACATTGTTAACATATTTTTTCAATTTTCTTCAAGTCTTTCTTTATACTATCACTCATATTTACTTTTTTTTTTGCTTTGATTCTTTCAAGTGCAACTTTTTTGCCTGATAGTATAGCTTTAACATACTTGATGATGCTAGCTAATATTATATCCAACAGATCATCTTTGCTTATTGCTTTTAATCTGTTTGGGTTGTTTTTCCATTTTCTTTTCTATTATCTAGCTTCTCCTCGAATATGTTATCTAGCTTTGCTTTGTAATCTTTCCAGTTCTCTTCTGTAGATTTTTTTAGATTAAACATCTATTTTTTGTCATTTAGCCTTTTATCACAAGCTGCAGTTCTAGATTTTTTCATAATTTTTGTTGCTATATTTGCCTTTACTATTGTATAATCACTATTTGTGATTATATCTGATTTAGTTATCTGACAACTTATTAGGCTTTGTGCTAGATCTTTTGAGATCCAGATATAGTCGATTCTAGATTTGATCTGATTATTTAATTTAGTAAACTTCTTTTTGTATAAGTATAATTTTCTGAATACATCCACTATATCTGAGTTACTTAGTCAATTCAGAAGAGGGAGTTTCTGAGTTCATTTTGAATTTTCTCTGTTTTAGTCTAGATCTTTGCATCTTATATCATTTAGATTATCTAATACTATAATTTTTATAGCTTTTCTTCAGCAATCATAGATTCTTTTTATGATTTGCTGCTATATATTCTTTCTAGTCTTCTGATCATTATGAGAAATGTATACTACTATTATCTGTACTTTTTGCTTTTTGAAGATGAAAAGAACTTCTATATAGTATGTATTGTTTTGTTTTACCTAGCTCAAATGCTTTTTCTATTTCTTATTTATAATTAATCCTACTCCAGATCCTTTTTTCTTGTTTTCTTTTGTATTTGTTCAAATCCCTAAATAATCTTTGTATCTACTCATACTAAACTTGTTTTGCCTTTCTGTTGTATTAGTTTTATTAATTCTAATTATATCTATTTTCTCTTATTTTGCCTATTCCAAAAGTATTTCTAATTTAACTGAGTTGCTTTTGATCCTATTAATATTATATATAGCTATATTTAATATCCAATAGTTTTCTACTATAATACTTCTACTCTCTCTTGCTTTATTTCCTTTCTCTGCTCTTCTTTCTAACTGAAAACAGTTAGCACCACTGTCTATTATCATTAATTCAACTAATATATTTGTTAGGAGTGATTAGAAGCATCTCACTCCATATGTTGAATTTTTTTTTCAAGGCTTCTTATGAGCTACAGCATATAATCTATAGAGTTCTCATAACTTCTATATAGCTTTTGAGGTATTATAGTACTACTAGGTATTTTACTGAGAGGAGCTCTTCTTTTTTCTTTTCTAATTTCTTTGCTTTTTCTTTTAGAGTATGCACCTTTCTACTGATATTCTTTGTTTAAGTTTTCAGTATCTGATACTTCATCTTTGCTTAATTCAATATCTAAAAAACTTAAACTCTGCATATTTCAATTATATTTTTCTTTATATATCTTACTATAACATGTTTTTCTTTTCTCAGTATCTATTTCTCTACTCTCTATTGTCTTGTCTTTCTCTTTTACTTAGCTGAGCCTAGTATTAGAATAGATAACTACAAACTTTGTACTATTTATGCAATCCTTTTCATTTTTAAAGTATATAGTTATGCTTCTTCTGCTATTACTATTAGAGTTTCTAAAGATATATAATACTTTAATATCTGTATGTTTTATTTGTCTCTATAAAAGAACTTCATTTGTGTCTTTTGGCAAGTTGAACAATTTTTTGCTAAATGTATTATATGCTTTCAACTCTTCAAAATTACATTTTTCTATTGTAACTCTAACTAGTTAATCTCTCATAAAAAGCAAGTACTATATCTTTGCTAAATTTTTTGTATTTGTTATATTAGAAAGAAAGCTTGTTTCTACTCTTGTCTTATCACAGAGTTTTTTAATCATTTCTATGTGAGCTACTCTTCTTAGATGTTGTATTGTTTCAAAAATCTGAGATCTTCTTGCACAAGTTAGTAGATCCTATATTGTTATATAGTCTTTATTTGTTTTTAATATTCTTTTCTTGTCTTGTCAATTAAATATTAGATTGTTTTCTATTGCAGCTATATATTTTGAGACAAAGTATTAAGGTATTTTATCTTTTCTTTGTTTAAAAATTTCTTTGAGCTTACTCTTTACTCTACTTTTCCTCTTAGCTTTGCTTTTTTCTTTTTTTGTACTGTTTGGTGATTTTTCTTGTAATTTTTGTTTGTAAATATTTGCTAGGTTACTTCTTATATAAGTTTCAATTTTTTGAAGTCTTTTTAGAGTTTTCTAGTTTTACTCTTGCTTCTTCATAACCTTTTTCACAATCGAAAGTGATTATGCACTATAGGTTCTCTTTTTCAAATTTCTTAGAGATCTTTTTTAAATGTATATTCTCTCTGAGTGACTATCTTAGAGATTTTTTTCTTTGTTCTAAATTATTACTAAGCCTATTTATAGTAACTACTTTTGTCTTAATATTTCCTTTGTTTGCATAGCTTTATTTTTTTAAAGCTCATATACTTTGATCTTGAAAAACTTCTTTGTATACTTCTAAATCTACTTTATTATCTGCTTGTTTCTTAGCTTTAGAATCTTTTTGATCAACTACAGCACTTCCTACAATTTTGCTTGTTTTCATATTTCTATATTCTCAGATATATTGCTATTAGCTTTAGTAGTTGATATAAGTTTGCTATTTAAGCTATTTGGTACTGTATAGCTTTGAAAGAATATTAATATATATAGAGTTGCTTGTTCTTCTTTTTCTACTTTCATTTCAATTTCTTCTGTTTTACTTTTGCTTCTTTTGTATAATTTATTTTTTTCATTTCTTCTAATTCTATTAGTATTCTTACTTTATTGAATCTATCTGTTATTGCAGCTCTTTTGATTACTATATGCTATTGTTTAGCTATTTTGACAATTTCTAATTCTATACCTATTAACTCAGTTACTATTTTGTCTAAATACTCTTCTAAGCCTAGTACTGTATTACTTCTTTCTATTGCTATTTCCTTACCATATTTTTTAATTACTTCTTTAATTAGTCTCTTAGTCTTTTCTTTTTTCTATATTTTATTATTCTAGTTTGCTCTCTGATGAGTCTATATGAATTGCTTGTTTGGTCTAAAGTACTTTTCTCTTATTTAAGACTTTGAATATTGTATCTTAAAGTAACTTTGTCTTTTTCTTGAAATTCCTAGTGATTTTTTCTGATTATCCGTGATTCATCTGATTTTAGTCTTGTATATACTGTCTTTGTTTCAAACATATAACATATAATTTACTTATAGTATGTTTTGTTTACTTTTTTTGTACATGTTTGTACTATATAAGATGATTTGTGTTTTAGGGTTTGTTTGATTCTCTAAAAGAATTTTCTAAAGTTTTCGTATTTTGTTCAAAGCCTAAACTTCTTCTATAATACTTGATTTTCTTTAATTTTTTTGGTTCTTTTTGCTTCAATATATGTATTTCTTTCTTTTCTTTCTTTTTACTTAAGGGATCTTATGCTTGTTTTTAGTGAGAACTTTGAGTTAACTTGATTTTTTTTTCTGCTTCAAAATTAGTCAAAGTGATCGATAAAAAAAGTTATATAATTTTATTGAAAAATAATGATCTTATATAATATTGTTTTTAGCTTATATATTAAATATACAAAAGAATTCCTAAAAATAAGTAGTTAATCTTTGTAAAAACTATTGTATTATAAAAAAAATTTCTTCATCTTCTCTAATAAATTTTTTGTTTTTTGCTATTTTAAATTTTTTGGAAAAAAGAATTATCAAAAAGAGTTGTTTAAAAACAAGAAGATTTGTACTTGTGGTGTATTAAGAAGGCTATACTACTTGTAACAATATATACTTTAAAATAATATATATCTTTTTATAAAATTTTAAATTCTATAAATTATAAATATTTATACTTGTATATACCATAAAATTTCTTAAGTGATTTCAAATTTTCCTAAATTACAAAAAATAACCTATTCTGATTGGTTAATTTTAGTAATTTTATATAATAAATTTCATAATAAAAAATCAAAACAAATATTTAAATTCCTATATCCTGACAAATTTTAACTCAATTTTAATAATTTTACTACTGTTAGAATCACAAAAACCTAGTTTATAATTTTATTTAGAATACTAAAAAAGATTTAATTAGTAAATTTTTTTGTAATTTAAATTACAAAAAAAAAATATTATGCAATTCATATGAAAATTGATTAATATTCACCCTACCCTTAAAGAAAATAAAAAAACATAAAGATTTGATTGGCTAAGATATTTTAATTTTAGAGATGTTGACATTCAAATTGGTTACATATGATGATGTTAACCTTATCATAATTGTCATTTATACATTTAGATTTTATTTATTTTATTTATTTTTTTTTTTTACTATATTGTACTAATTATTATGCGTCAAGCATTTCGCAAGCGCGCCGAATTAAGTAATAAATCGGGTAACCAGGAAATCATAACCCGGTTAACAACGCGAATGAGTAATCAGATCAAATTTTCTGGCGGGTCCAATCTTTACTTTTGCATCTCCAATTTCTTTAATACCTTGTAACGACGCCAACACTTAAAAAAATTTTTTTACCAATTTTAGAACGCAATATCACTTTGTATTTTAACATATATTAAAATATTAACCTGATTATCTGTACGCCCGTCCATGAATGCAGAAATCTTTGCCCATTTTCCTACTCCTATGCTTCTCGCTAACTCTAATAATTTTGCATCCTCCTAGTAGAGTGTAAAAGAAAGGATTAGATTATAATTATTAATTATTTATCAAATTTATTGATTAATACGGCCAATAATATAAACCTCACTAGTCCATGAATCTTTTTTAATACTTGGATTAAGAACGTTCATCCAACGCTCACGGCATTGTACATCTGTTCTACCTAGTACATATTGTTGTACCTTGACCCAATTACCAGCACCATAAATAGAGACCGCATTTCGAAGAGCCTAAAATATATTTTATATATGGTTAATTTTTACACATAAGATAGAAAAACTCATTAAAAGCCATTATTAAAAACGCACTTCATCCTCTTCCTTTTTCCAGCGACCACGTCGGATCGCAGGATTTAAGGTTTTAGTCCATCGATGTAGACATTGCTGGCCTGTTCTATTGTCAAGACAATGAGCGACTAACAATGAAGAATATTTTTAGAGTCAATAAATCGCTAGGTAAGAATTGAACAAGTTTATTTATTACCTTGTTGCCAATTCTTTTCACCATAAAGATCTACAGCACGTATAAGTATATCATCTTCCTCTTTTGTCCACTTACTATAGCAAGTAAAATGATATGAATAATCTGAATCAAAAAATATATAGGACAAAGAAAAAATGCAAGTACCGAGGATCAGAGGATTGCTTGTTGTATTGCTTAAAACATTCGGCAGCAGTTCTATTTGTCTATTGAGACAAAAAGAAAAAGAGATGAGAAAATAAATTGTAAACTCACCAATACAAGAATCAAAGAATAAAAGGATCGAATACCTAAAAAGGAAAAATAATTTGAAATTTAATCGCGGAAATAATAATAAATATACTAACACCTAGTTCTAATGCAATCTTCTGCCAATTTCTACCATTATTTTGTTCAGCGATTTCAAGTAATTTTTTAGTCTCTAAAGTCGTCCATTCATCATTATTAATACATGGGTGATCATGATTTGTCCATTGAATAATACATTCTTCTTTTGTTTTTGTCGGTACCTGTTATATTATATATGAGAAACTTCAATATATCAATAGGAGATTTTTCAATAAAGTTTTAAGAAATAACATACATATTGCTTTGCAATTTGCGTCCAATTTATTTCTTCTACATTATAAAGAAACATAATTTTTGGCATTTTTTCTACAGAATGAATTGGTCTGCCTCTAAAATAGCAATATATGTATATAATTAATAAAAGAAAGCAGTAGATGAATAGAATGTTATCAACATAGTAATATCGTCACCTACTCCCTCATAGCTCGTAACGCCTCTCGTTTCATGTTGTGATCTTGAACACCCTTTCTCAGTGCATCTTTTTCACTTATAGTCCCTATTCAAACAAATTAATATAAATATATTAATAAAAAATAAAAAAATATCAAAATATGAAGTATTATACACACATCTTGTGCTCTTAAAAATTAATGGGCGAACACTTGTATCCTCATTCTCAGGGGGAGCCTAAGTTCAATGAATGTAAGAAACGCGCCAGTCAATTAATGAACAGTTAAAGTATAGTCGGCTCTGGACACAACAAACTTTATTATAGGTTCGTTATATAAAATATAGAAAATTTTGATATAACGAACTTTTTATTAATTTTACTAATAGAACAAATAAGTTTGTTGTAACAGATGTAGCTAAATAATTTAAATAATTTGCGAATTTGCGTACGTTTCCTTCCGCGTCGATAAAAAATGGGGGACAAAATGTTCTTACAACACCTAGTGTATCTTGTTCGGACTTAGAGTAACCTTCAACTTCGGCCTTTTCCTGCCTCATTCGGGTGAGGCGTTCCTTAATAAATCAAGAAAATGACTAAAACATAATACAATAATTTGATTAACACTATTCGAAGAGCTTACTTGTAAAATTATATTACGTTGTAATGCCGCGTCAATTCCCATTTTTACCCTATCTAATTCTTGTTGTAGTTGCCTATTTAACTCTAAAGCGTCAAGAACATCTTGTGGATCTGCGTTTGAAAGTGTTGAGCTATCTGGAACTATAGTTGTTTGTTCATTAAAATCTTCCATAACTTTCATAACTTCGAAATTAAGCCTAAAACTCCATGTTTATTGGGTTGATCTGAAAAAATTCTGATTGGTCAAGTGAAAATAAGCTATGGGGCACCGAAAATCTGCAATGATTGGTTTGAAATTAGACAAACATTAAACACGAGCACGTCGGGTTTAAACCTAAGTTTGGATCATTTAAACCTCGTTTTCAAAGATATTGTATCGAATTTGAAAATATGAAGGTTTGAAGCAATAAATAACATTGAATTAAAAAATCATCGCTTTAATAAATGTTGAACTTATATAAGTTTTATCGAAATAAATAAAGATTTAGTTATTATTATTGTCATCGTTATCAGTTATTTGATTTCGAGGGTAGAGCTTGATTTTATCCCGGAGTTTTGGTTGTCCCACTATATTTGAACAATTATGCACAGCATTGACGATGCACCAATATGCATCGCATCGTACGAAACTGGAGTTCCTAATTGTAATACGAAACGTGTTATTTATTTAATAATATTCTTTGATATTGAATTGTAAACACGAATCTTGCAAGTTCTTGCTTTAAATATGCCAACTTGGAGGGTAGGTAACTATTTGATTTTAACTTGTTACTATTATAGAATTATCTTTTAATATGTATATATTTTTCCTTTTATATAAAGACATATTTTACCAATGTACCACCGACTGTGAAAACTTTAACTTTTCTTATAGTTTTTATCTCAGCACTTGGGGTTTTAAAAAGATTTCATAGATGGATCGAAAATCCTTTCGCAATAGATGTTTTACCAGATTTTGCTATGGTTCCAGGTCACGCAATACAAAAATTTTGGACCTTTTTTACTGCTGGTTTCTTAGAGACTGATCCTATGTCGGTGAGTCATTAAAACTTTTTCTTTTGCCTTGCAAATATAAATAGATCAAACTCAAAATTACACTAAATTTAGTTAATAGGAAGTGTTATTACTATGGCTGCATGTGGAAAATATTTAGAAAGAGCATGGGGATCGAAGGATTTTTTGAAATTTGTTGGAATAATTCTTATTGGCGTTACTTTAGCAACCTTTTTAACATACTTATTGGAATATACTATTACCGGCGACCAATATTATTTGTAAGTACTACATCATATGCTAGGCGGGTTTCTTTTTTTGGCGTGGGAATACAAATTCATTCTTGATTTGCATTATAGGTATGAAGTGCAGGCGAATGGGATGATTGGTGTTATATGCGGATTTCTAGTTGCTCTAAAACAACTTGTACCCGAGCATTTGGTCCGAATTCCATTATCAGTTCGCGTCAAGGTAAATATTAAACTTAATTGATACATCTCTACTGAAATTAAATAATTGTATATCAATATTAATTATCTTTCAATTATAAAAAAAAAAAAGCATTTTCCTGGCATATTTATCATATTTAGTTTGATTTATTTCCTTGTCTTTGAGGCGCAATCACAATTTTTACTTGTTATATATGGATGGCTCATATCTTGGACATACATTAGATTTTTCATCCAGATGTTCTTTCACATCAAACAAAACCGGCTCGGAAG